ACGGTATGTCAAGACAAAATAGTCCTGTATATTTACAAGAAGGATTACAAAATGAATGCCCTTGCTTGCTTGACAGTGTGAAATATTTTGAAGAGAATGGTCCTTCGGAAGATGACAGGGTGTGTACTGTTTATGTGTACAGGGGAATGTGTTTGACTCCTTACTTCAGTTTGGTGAGCAGGGCTGACGGACAGAAGTGCTGCCGAGCTGGAGCATGGTCAGCTCGCAAGACTGTTATCCTGATCTGTGTCCGTGACGCTGGTGCTCTCGGAATTGTAATATTTGCCGTTGATCTGCTTAACCTGAAAGTAAAGGAAAAGAATAAAATCGTGCTCATTCTTTAGCCGATGCAAAGTGTTGTTTGATTGTGATTTTGTCGGCTTATTTAATTGATATAAACAACTTTTGTTAAAAAAGAGGGTTATCTGTTGCTTATTGTGTGTGTCCAATGCCTTCAGTTAAGAAAGAAAAATTGCCAGTAAATTAAAAACAAATCTAACCACATGTGAGACTTAAAAATACCTTATTTAAGAATAACAACAAATGAGCAACTTCGAACACGTAAAAGATCGCTATAACCATAAATGGTAAATGTTAGTAACACGGTCAGGAAAAAATCTTAAAAAACATTTAGGTTCATTAAAAGAACTCACTGCTCGTCAAGCTTTCGCATTTCTGGTATTGCATTATCATACATTTTCTGATGTCAATGTTAAGTCAGTGGTGCTAAATCCTGTTTGCTAGCAACGCACGAATCCCTTTCTCTTTTAATTGGGACCACAGCCGTTCACAATCGGTCAACTTTAATTTGTGGCCTGATTTATGTTCTTTTGGCAGGTCAGTCAACTGCAGCCATTCCGTCTAGTGTTCGGGACGTCAGGGTTTTTAAATGTCCTCAAGAACAAAACCTAATTATGGACAGAGTTGAACACAAAGGAGCCTCAACCGCTATGCAGGTTGAAGTTATCTGGTAATTACATGCATGATTAACTACGAAGGCAGACTAGAGCATTTCATCTTCATGACCATTTTAAAACCAAAATACTTTAGTTCCTTATGGATTTAATTTAAGTCATAAACACGTTCTCTACCAGGCGAGCACAAAAGGAATGATTATTAAAATAAAGATATCTTGCCACATTCATAAAAATTATACAAGTAGGCAAGGCACAAACGACTAGTGCAAATTGCATAGGTGGTAATAATTTCATTTTTCATAAACCAATGGCACAGTTTAAGAAATAGCTCCTGACGACGTTCCAAACTGACAGGTCCTCTTTAAATAATTTGTTTTTAAATTTGTATAAACATGCGATTTTGTACAAGGTTCGGCTATTTCGATATATTTTTAGTTTTTGGGTCAAATAGATGTACTTAGAAATATACAGAGACGGTAATCACGTCTACTTTCAACGATGTTGGCCGTTATACGTGCGAAATTGTGCACTATATTGAGGTATCTTCCCAAAACATTTTCAGAACATTGACTTTATCCATAAAACATTCTTTAACAAAACAATAACGATGAAAATTAATTACGATCCCAATAAGGGCATGCTTCCCGTAGTGACACTCGTATCTGCCGAACGTTCATATCTCAGACAATAATGGCTTTTATTTATGGTGAGTGTTTGATTTGTGGTTTATCCTTCAGTCCAAACAGGAAAGCAAGGTCGGTTCCGATATGACAATGATATGCTTCATTTTGAAAATATCATTGCAAAATTTTCAGCCAAACATATTTTTCATTAAAAATATATAAAATTAGGCACACGCACTCACACAACTAGGGAATCAAAAGTAATCCATTACCGTTAATGACTGCATGGGATAGTCCAGTTTTCAAAGTAAAACCTTATTCTATTACTTAAGTCAAGATGTATATTACAGTGTGCAATCATATGTGTTTATGGGCCTTTGAATTTTTTTATTTACAGACAAGTGAGCTAAATCTAGTGTATATCCAAAAATTGAAACACACATTGTACAATGACTACTTACCACATAGTTGAGATTTCAGTCTACATTTCTTTAGCCGTATTTAGAATAACTGAAGCAATGCATTTTTTGTTATTTTATAAAACTGCTTGCTTTTCTATAACTACTATGTATCTAATCCCCGTTTGATAGTGTTGCAGACTACGTTGACTGCGATTAAGCAATCCTATATGAAAAAGAAATTTAGTCCTTCTTCCCGAACTCAATTATTTATATGGCATCTCATTAGCATTTAAAAGTGATTTGAATCTCAACATTATCAAACTCATAAAACAGTTGTTTTTTGGAGCGACAAGCGGAGTAAGTTTCAGAGTGCAGATGTATTTTTTGTAAACTAAACGTCGCTTAAATTTTACTGAGATGTATATATTGTTTTTGTCACTAAATATAAAAATTATCTTAGTTTATTACTATGAACTGGCTTTATGAGCGTACGAATGCATTCTTCATTTTAGTATTCCGACAAGGCGGAAGGCACCGTAGTATAGCTATTTCGGGTTGTTGGCCCTCATCAGAGACAGATTGGTTTACAAACAAATATAGCATTTTTTAAATTTACATTGCTGTTTTTGTGTTTCCTTTAAAAAGCAAGTGTAATCAACCGGCACCTGTTTGTCCATAGATGTTTCATTTTATTTATTATGCCTCCGTACAAATTTTTGCGCTTAACGTTGGCAATGGATCGTAAATGCGGGTACAATTTTTTTTTGCTCGCGTAAATTAATCAAAATTATAAAAGAAAGTTGTCACTTCATTCCGCTTTTCTCTGTGCTTAGGCAACCGAAATAGAAACGAAGGCAAATTGTCATATTAAATCATTTTTAGGAGCAAGCATTGTTAGTAGATTTGTGTCTTACGTCAAAAAAGTTCTTTGTTGCATTTGTACTACAAGTTCACTTGGTAGGAAATAGCTAATGGTTGCAAACGCTTATGACAGTGATCGGAGAAAGTACACAAAGCTTTTACCAAACGAAACTAAAAGGCTCATTTCAAAACATGCTTACGGTAGTTCGGGTAAGGAAAGTATTCATAGTAAAAAGGCAAGATGTTCGTTTTAAAACAACAGTCTAGAGCGAAAACCTCGCACAATTTGTTTTTAAAGTAAATCAGGTGTGCCACTTTGATTTCAGTCAAGTAAAAATAAAATGTCTGAACCATCATACTGAATTGGTTTACAAAAAATTGTCAAAACATTGCATAAAGGGATGTTTTAAATTATTTCTACAGGAAAAAAACTTAAGTAGCGATTTTCGCCGTAGGGTAATCATGACAGATATTGCAAAATGATACCCATCTTATAGATGTCAAGTTCTTTACTTTTCGTGCAAATTAATGCGAGAAAATATAGTAAGTAATTAGGGTCAAATACGTTCAGGCTTGGTTAAGTTTTGGACCGGAAAAATTACTTTGAAGGCCATCAGCTTCTACGGAATTACCGTGTTGCATTCACAGGCTAACAGCTGACAGTCGGTATTACACAAATGTTGCACCATTTACCGTGGTGCCAGCAACTTGCAGTACCTGTGAAGAACAAAATAATGTATAATGCGGCGACTAATAGAATTTAATGAGTACATATTAAGTAAGTCTATATTTTGTATAGATATTTTTGGGTGTTTATTTCACTTGAGATAAAGCAAATATTTTTTACTAAAACAAAATAATGCATTGTAAATCGGACGCAATGAAAAAAGTACAGATGTGCTCGAGTTCGGACGTCTCCGTCAAATAAAGTA